CCTATAGCTAATAATACAATAGCTTCGGATCACAATTCTGGCCCCTCATCAAGGAGTATTTCGGCATAAGAATTCTCAATATTAGATAAATATCATGCAACAACGCGCTTAATGCATAGGTTGGCCTCCATGAAATGTGCGAACGTGATCACCGATTGCGGCGGAAGACTTCTCCTGTAGCTATAAGCCAGCACTTAGGCGAGTGTGAAAGACAATACACTTAACAGCACCGCTCAAGGCTCGAATTCGCGACCTTCTCGGTCAGAATCTAACGCTCTGACCATTGACCACCACTTTGGTTTGGGTACGACTGGCTGACGACGGCTAATAAGCCAGAGATGGCCATTCCAGTCTCCGTTGTCCTTGCCGGCAAAAATACTCACCAACTACAAGTAGGTATCTATGCACCGATCTGTTTCAGGATGCACCCATCCTGGTTGATGCATTTTCGCGAGAGCTTGGAACTCCAAGCAGTTTGCCGTCTTGTCTTTTTCGGTAAAAATACATACTCACCTACTATTTGCCCATATTTTCGGCAAACTGCCCGAAAAACAGAACCACAGGGGGAAGGTGTTGGGAAAAATGCGGTGACCCCTGAATGATGGCCGGTTTTGTCCACGCTTAAAAAGGACAGATGATGGATGACTTCCCTGGGTCAGCTAATCGAATTTGTCTAATTCTGTTTGAACAAGACAAAGACCGAATTTAATGACTTCGTGACTGCTTATTCAACTGCATATGAATAAGATACATTGTCTAATTAGAAAACGGCCTAGAGGGATGGAACGCTGATCTGACATACGGGAGCGTATGTCGAAGATGTACGACGGTCTAGATAAGAGATTTCAGATAACAGCTACGGCGCGTCAAGCGTAATTACAACTGCATAGCCCGGGACGGTTATCATTCATTAATCCTTACCATGGCAAAACCAGGTAGATAACGTGATCTAACTGCTCACACAGTTCTGATCTTCCCCCCCCCCGTACTTTAGCGGCTTCTGCAAAGTGTAGAAGACACTTAGTCGACACTCGAATAAGACTTAGAATTTAGTTGTCGCGTGAACACATGACCAGGGTCCCCCAGGTGCTTTGTAATCGAACTTCTGGACACCTTATTTTCCACCTCTTAGCAGTCATCTCAACACAAATTCAGATGACCAATTTTCCAACTGTCTTTGCATGCGTCCAATGTATCTGCATCTTAATTGGGCGAGCTGATATGGTAACTTGATTACAGGGGTCAGGAGACATTTTTTCAGCATATCTTATATGTAGTGGACGTACGCAGTTAAATAAGACATGGCGAAACCATATGACGTCATTAAATAATGCACACTTTATTGCCTTGCTTTGCTCCATTTTTTTCGGAGAAAAAAGCTTTTATTCTGTTTAATTCGGAGAAGAGAGCTTTAATTCTTGCCTAACTGTCTGTATATGTAAGCGATGGCAGTCCGGGAGAAGGAATAATGGTCACACAGGGATGAAGGTGTAAAAGCAGAATGCGCCCTTGCAGATACGGGAGGTGGAACTAAAGGCTCTTGCCATGAAGCACTGGAGGGTTGACACGGGGATAAGTACGTTCGGGCTAAAAGTGGGTTTGCAGTAAATTCCAGTGCGTACCTGTTCCTCCGTCCTACGCCCAATCTTAATATAAACAAGGTAAGGATTCCTTATAAGAAACGCAACAGTAACAAAAAACCACGTTTGCGTTATACGGGACCGGTGGTAAAAGGGAATATTAAACACAAATTCCAACCTCTCCCGCCTTAGAATATACCGCAGTGCCACCAGTAATATGCTGAAAAAGAAACTACAACGGTGCCCTACACTAAAGCGAACCCCTGGGGGGTTTCAATTATCGCTTTCGGGTTAAAGAAAAAAAGTCACTAAGTGCTTTTCAATCAATTAGGGGCACACCAAGGCAGTGGGCACTTTGAAGAATGAGAATTTGATATTTTCGATAACTGTTGTTAGCGTTAGCTGAAGCCAACGCGAACTAAAGCGCCAGTGGTTGGAACTAAATGGCCTTGAGACATTAAATAGACATGCATGCCAGTAATAATAAGTTGCAGGTGGTAAGTCACATAAACTGAAAGCCCATGTCTCAACCCCGCTTATCGGTCTAAACAACACTCAAATATCTGAAAAGGTCAGTCAGATACCTAGATAGAGGTAACTCACCTGGGTATGTTTTCTCGCTTGGGTGGTTCAGCCGACTGCTCTTTTGCTACTGTACCAGTTTTGGTCGGCGACTTAAGGAGACGCGCAGTTTCTGCCAGCTCATCCTCATCCGTGTCGTTAAGACTAATCACCATGGGGGCGATATCCTTGGGCTTCTCGGCGGCAATCATATGGTTCGTATTTGTCGACAGCAACTCCGCTGACATTGTCGTTTTGGACTTTTGAAGTTTCTTAGCAATGAGAATGTCCCGAGCGTCCAGCATTTCCAAGGTCGAACCAAGTGCATCGTCTCTGTCAGCCTCTACAGAGAGCCGAGACGTTGTTATTCGGGGACCAAGACGAGATTTTACATTGGAAACACCGCCCGCACCGGACACCCCCTTAGCACTGACGGCAGACTCGTTGAGAGTGACAACGAAGCGGGTTGACTTGGCAGCCGGAGGTGCTATATCGTCCTCCGAGGTAGGACTGGAAAATAAGGCAAACAACTAATTAGCAGGCTGAAACATTTAAACAGTGAAAAGGGAGAGAGAGGACACGGAATGCAACTTGCTCTGCGCATCGTAGGGTAGTGATCGGCCAACAGCGGCATAAAACTCAGTATGAAAACGTAACCGCGGTAGTGGGGCACTTACCAACCGCATTTCGGAACATATTCATCGCTTTTTGCCTGAAAGCTCACTCTCGAGATCCGCCAGCAGCTGCACAGCAGCTAGTATAATATAGAAAGCATAGCATTCCCAACGAAGACAAGGGAGACTGACATGACCATTTCTCGTTTATTGGCCGTTATCAACCAGTCCTATTCAACCCCAGGTGTTGCAATATCTGAAGACTTCTAATCAACAGACCTTTAATTCTAGCTTAGAGTGTTGCAACACCTAGGGTTGGGTGTGGTCGATTGATGACAGCTAATAAGACAGTTGGTCACTCAGTCTGCCTTTTCGTTGTCGCTAATACAGTTCCACTTACTAAATGTGTCACTACACATAACCGTCGATAGAAAATACACATGTACACACGCGTGCGGGCTCTGTATTGACACTTTAAACTAAGGCATTCCCGATTATAACTTATTCAATAGCAGACTTTATTACAGAGCCTGTATGGGTTGCCCTATCCTAATTAAGTAGCCGGTTATCGATAAAGATGTCTGTTTTCATTTCGGAAAATGCAGAGGAATCGACGTTGTATACATGGTTTGAAAAAGAATTGTCTAAAAAGCCTTGACGATTAACTTCTGCGGAGGGAAGTAAATTACTATTGGTCATTGAACAAGGTTGCCAAGGGGAAAATTCATTTCAACGGATGAAGATAAAGTCTTAAGACTTCGGAAAACTTGACATAGTTTGAGTAGGCAGTGTGGTAGACCGTGACGGGGGTACACAAGACTTGCTGATACATAAATAAGCAAAAATGTAGGCGCTAGGGGTAGATCTTCTAAGTCATGTAAATAATATTTTGCTTTAAGAACGCGATTGTCATAAGCGTGTCAAATAATCGTCGCTCAAGACAACGTTTTGAAGGAGAAAGACGAGATAGTTTCCACAATCTGGGAAATACTTAAGGTAAACGGGCCTTACAGAACACAACTTTCCGGCCTACGAAAATCAACTGTTTGAAAGACAGGACTGCTACCAGCATAGCAAATCTGTTCGTGTTGATGCTTATCGGCCTAAGAATTGGAGGCCTAAACAAAAAGGAAATGGATAGATAGGAAATAACGAGCCTCCTTGCCCAGAAGGAAGTCCCGTTGCCTTATTATGTGCAGTTCTACAGAAGAATTGAAAGGAACGCAGGCGGGCAGAAAAAGATAAACTTAAATTTAATTTGAAATATAAGGTTATTCGATGGAGGAAACTTAAAAATCAAAATCCCAAGGAGTTACTAGGTCAAGTTTACTATGCAAAACAGAAACGTGTTTACGGGAGACAGTTCCAAGATAGCGCAAATAGTAAGCTAATCGAAACTATTTGCGATTTCTACGGACGCAACGTTTTAAGTTCTGTCGTGCTAATACTCCTCTGATCCTCGTTCACCTTTACCCTCTCATCCTCGTTGATTAACATTCATTCCTGCTTCCTAATGAACGCTTGCTTATTGTCTATATTATGCTAACCCCTCTCCGTCCTTTTTTAGTTCTTGTACGTCAATTATAAGATGAGTAGAGCCCTATACTAGGATACTCGATTCCTTATTCTCCTCGAATGCTTGGCTATTACGTTCTGAATAACACGACTATACTCCAATCACGACAAGTTATAAATGTTTATTACAGGTAAATAAGGCACTAATAGATTATAGAACGAACCCCATTTGGTCCGCTGGCCTTTTGCGTCCGTGAACAACCGCAGCAGGCAGTGTGGATTTTGTTGGTGAAGTGGGAGTAGTCGATGCCACACTTGCCTGAGCCTCAGTCATTGCGCGTTTTAGAAGTAGTCCACCGGGTCGGGCGTGGGGTGCCATGGTGGAAGAGCACGGCACATGTGTTGATAGCTAGAGGAAAATCAGTGCATTTGAAAAGAATAAGCACGACAACGATCATTAATCTCAAGGAACAAGGAAATGTCACAAAGAATTCTTTAGATTCAAGGTAAAATTCACGAAAAGCGTTGCTGTCAAATTGGGGTCTAGATCCATAAATCCCACACACCATATTAAAATACAAGTCGGTGGGATACTGAGATAGTAAGTTCTCGGCAAAATTTGACTGATAGTTTACAATCTACGCACATTTCATCTAAGGATATATAAAAATGAACAGTTAAGTACTTTGAGCATCACAGAGCGAAGGAAAGACAAACATTCTATAACATATCGCAACACATCCTTTGGCGGTACAGTAGCAGGTGAGAACCCGTCGAGAAATAAAGACATTGAAACTACTGAGTTTCCGGGCTTAGATGGGCTACAAAAGAATATTTAATTGCTAAGTAAGAGTACAACCATATTAAGTCAGGGAGTCTGAATTGGACTTGCATCTTGTAATTGCGATCCTGACCAATCTATTTAGCCTAGATAATGTATTGGATTATATTTCATCGTGAGAGACGATTTGTGACAGCGGGTCTAGGTAGTACGAGCCAATTTCCCTTCCAGTGTTAGAAACAGAATACCCGACCAGAAATGTGATTCGAGAACGCTTTGGTTCTTCCAGCTACACTACAAAGTAAGTTACATGGGCTTCATGCAGTGATATTTTCAAAGTTACATTAATTGTGGCCTACGACAGAACCGTTAACACAGAGTACATAGCAAGCGCTTTATGACGAAATATGGACTGGTGCAATGTGCTACCTTGTTGTGGACGGGGCTTAGAGGTCCTGTTAAAGCACACAGGTTAACGGGTGTCGGCTGAAAACCGATTGGTTTCCGATGTGATTGTCCTCCCCCCAATTTATTCACTGAGATTAATGAGTGACACCTGTTTCAGATGCATAAAATTAGACCAGTAAATTGATCGCAGATGTTGGAGTTCGACCACACGGACGGAAGGTGAGTCAGATAGTCGATCGACATTTCGGAGGAAACCAATTTTCAAGAAGGTGGGGAAGGTATAGTCGAGTATAAGATGATTTTTTCAGTATATTCTTTCTAAATGACATTCTAATCGGTTTTGAATACACAACAGTCGGTTGACGAAGTTGACACTGACACCGTGAAGATGGAACTAAAGTATTAAGTATGGATATAGGGTGTGACAAACGAAGTAATCAAAAATTGATCGTGTTGAACAGTCAGATTTGCAACGTTGGCAAAAAAGTGGAAATGGATAAATGAGAACTAACAAATTGGAAGCCTATGTGCTAAATTATGTCGGGTTATTTTTTACTTTCAAAGGAGTACTTGCAGATTTCCACAAATTAAGAGTATAGCTAACACAGAATTCACACAAGCTAGTTCGCGTTATCAAAGTTTTTTACCTTTACGACTGACCGTAGCCCAGGTCCCGCTTCACCACTTGCGTCGGTTGAGGGGCCGGTCAGAGAAGACGTGCTAACGATTCGCCGCTGTTCCTTCGGTTTTGTTGTTGTCTGGGGTACAGCCTCCTTCTGTACTGATGAAGAGGTTTCCTCAATGAATTCGTCTACAAACAATATTTATAGATTACGGTAATTACTTTCGTCTGTCCGAACACTAATAACGTCCACCTCACTTTCAACTGATGTACGCTGACTGGTCTTCTGTGAAACCGGTGACCTCGAACGCGATCTGGATTTGGAATACTTAGCTTCCACACGGTTGGTCTTGGCTTGGCGTTTCGCAACTCGTTTTTCTTCTTTGGAGTTGGGAATGGAGGGTGTCCGCTTCTTTTTGTCTAAACCAGATGTTACTCGTGGGTATTTACCAACCTTCCGGTTTTAAATAAGATTCGAGTACCGAATGAAGCCTATAAAGCCATAACTAGTAGAAGAAGTCTTTACCATTCAGTAAAGTGTTCGGTTTGAGCGCCCAGGAACAACTGTAAATCGTTGTTCATGCTTTCACGTTTCTTTTTATTGGCAACCATAACCATTATATAATCAGGAAGTTCTTCATCAACGAAGGCCCCGAGTTCTTTTAGTTTCGATTTCACCAGACCCTAGGGAAATAATATAAAAAAGTATTTGGAACTACTTTAACTTCCGCCATATACTCTGCAGGGTACGGCATCTCTGGGGCTAGCCAACACGCTTCTGAAAGAAGCGGGAAAGTGAGGTATATTAGTTAGTTAAAATACCACTTCCCGCATCTGCAGATCTCTCAATTTGGCAGTCAAAGGGAAAAACGGGAGGTAAAACTGAGAATCTAAGACGATGCAATAACGATAGTAGTCACACTGCGATCCCTAGAAAATAAACAAAAGAAAAACAAACTTACGCAGTAGGCGCCTCGTATTTGATTACGGAAGTTTCAAGTTATGCTCGGCCACCACAAATGCGATGCACAACTCCCATACCCATATGTCTGCAGGCGCATTTAGCCTGGCGCGTAGGACTCGAGGGTATATGTAGGATCAGTCTGGAAGCTCTAACAGCTTTCACTGTATTCTTCAGGTCATTGGGGTCGCTGCTTTGGTAATAGGTGATCCTTTCATTGAGTGCTGTTTTTGTATGTTTGTGATACGTTGCCGAAACTTCCTCTTACTTATTACGTTGGCAAGATGGGTAAGATGGGTGGCAAACGTTTACTTAACCTGACAAACAAAATACTATTATAGCCGTATATTTCGATCTTACCAGATTTGCAAGGTTCAGAGTCTTCATTAAGACTATAGGTGCTAAGTAGATTACGGACACTACAAAAAAAAGAAACAAGTACGATTCCCCCTATTATGAATACAAACATCCGAAACCTGCCCTTAGTAGTTTCACCAAAGTAAACCGTTCCGGGATCGCTAATTCGAGTGTCTTAAATCAGGACTGGGATTGACCACAAAGCCAGTGTCAGTAATTTCAGTAGGCGGGTAGACCTGTAGAAGCACTAAAGTGCCAAAAAATGCTGTTATTAATCTTGTCTATTCTATTCGTCCTGAGAAAATCCACGAAATAGAACTCAGTAAAAAGAACGTTAAAATATACTTTGAAGACTAATCAACTTCACACATACAACGCAAAGGGTACATTCAGTAGCGCACTAGTTAAGAGGATATAGTTCAGTATATTTAGAGTAGTAGGCAATGCCTTTGAAGACCCTATTGAAAACCACATACATAAAATATACAACATAATATATGTTACTATAAAATAGTGAGTAACATATATACATGTACAAAGTTTATCTGCTGGTATGGCCAATGTGTCAATAAGGCAGTATCCGCTCTTAGTTAGGATTTAGGCTGGAATTTTGACGCCTGTGATTGAACTGGCCTATAACGTGTGACCAGCACATGGACGGCATTTGTGCAAACAGCTTACGAAGGCACACTATGAAGATTCTTACATTAAGTTGTTGATTCACTTGTAATAGTATAATTTACGTTCATGTGCCGCCCTTTTGTCTGAGCTGCAAAGAATTTCCCTTGACACAGGTTGTTAAGCTGCAACAGTGGTTTTGCCTTGATTTTGGAAAGTCCGCAGTGTCGAGCAGTATTTCCATGACAGATTTATACTGGATTTGACCCGTCAGCGCAATCCCTTTGTCTCAGCTGATTTGCATGGCACATCAAAATGTTTGATTCGACCAGAAACTAAGAAGACACTAGCACAGTTTCAGTAAATACGTTCAAACGCTCAACTGTTCCGCTTTTCGCTTTAGTCCTTTACCAGCACATTCTCCCCCGCACGGAACTATCACTGAAGGTTAAGTTAGTTAAACCCCAGCAACTGCGAT